CACAACATGATGATCTGCTCCTGTCAAGAGAACAGCCTACAGGGCACTTGGTACTGTCCTACGTGAACCATGCATTACAATCAACAAAGACGAACAGTAGTTTACTGAGGCAACAGAATTTATTTGTAAAGATGAATTCTGGGCCTACAAGAGCATCCTAGGTACTCATCCTATCTTTGAGGCCTAAAAACATTGTTCAAAGCAGGGTTGCTATTAGACAACATTTTTATTTTAAGTCTGATAGATGATCAGCAATGGCAATGTTGGAAAATATCTATAGATTGTGACTCACGGCGACGCTCTGTGTGTCACTGCAGGGCTGCTGCTCCTTACAGTTTGCTAGGGTTTCTTTTTCTAAAGTAGCTAGAAATTCAGGCTAGACATACACTTCTCTAACAGATACATCTGGTGTGGCATTGTAGCATCAGCAGTGGACTGCGAACCACAAGGTCGGAAGTTCAAGCCCACCAGCTGCTCCTTGGAAACCCTTATTCAGGGTCGCTATGAGTCGGAGCCGACTCCACGGCACTTAACAACAACAACAGATACAATAGGCTATGTGAGCTTACTATATTCTGAATAAAGCTCAGGTCTGTGGATTCAGGGGTAAATCACAGAATGGTTATAAGGCTTACAGCAGCAAGGTACACATTACTGAATTCTCCACAATAATGGGGTGTTTGTAGCCTGCGTTCCTAATGTGCCAGGTGGATGAGTGAGTCACTCTTGAAGTGAACCACAGAGAAGATTCTGTGGTGGTTGATTTTTCTGGGTCAATTTATAATCAAAGCTCGTGCAAAATTTTGCCCTCAGGATAGCAAGCAGGTATTTGGTGCTATTAGGGCCAGAGTAGGCAGGACTTCCTAACAGGTCATCATTAGCCTCTGCTGGGTGATGAAGGTCTTGCTCAATTCTGACTCAACCTGCCCTTGAAAATCAGAAGGATTCCTCAGATCTGTCCTGGACAGCCGCCAAAGTGCACTTAAGGGAAGCAGGTACATCTCAGCCAGGCAATTGTGAGGGAAAAGGAGAGACAATACAGTCATCATCCTACCCGGCAATTCAAAGTTAAAGGGCCAAACAGGCTAGAAAAGGGGCCATGGCTCCATGCCTGCACAGAGAGCAGCAAATGGAAGGGAGGCAGCTGAATCCACTGTGAGAGCAACAAGCAGGGTCGGGAAAGGACCAGCCACTCATCACAGGGCCAGACCCACTGAGACGGCACTGAGAGCTGAAGCTGGTTCATCAGCAGGTAGGGTATGGTAAGTCAAAACACGGCCCACCAAAGATGCCCATAAATGAATCCCAAAAGTCTGTGCATATGTCACCTTACAGGGCCAAAGGAACTGTGCAGATGTGATTAAATCATGGCCCGTGGGATGGGAGATGGTGTAGGATTCCCTGGGTCGGCTCAATCAATCACAAGTGTCTTCATAAGAGGGAAGAAACAAAGGCCAGAGGCAGAGGAGGAGCTGGGACAATGGAAGCAGATGTGAAAATGATGTGGTTGTTGGCTTTGAAGACAGAAAGAAGACAGTTACCGGCCAAGGAATGGGGCAAGCCACTAGAAACTGAAAAGGCATGCAGAAGCCCTCCCTTCCAGGGCTTCCAGAAGGAATACACCCTGGCCCACACCTTGACTGGAGTCCAAAGGCTGATTTTGGGCTTCTTACCTGCAGAGCTCTAAGAGAATAAGCCTGTGTTGTTTTCAGGCACTAAATTCACTGGTGTTTGTTACACCAGCAATACAAAACTAATGTATAATGGGAGTAATTTCACTGTCTGAATACCGTCAATTCAGTCTTGTGCTATCATAGCTTTCCCGTACAAAACACAGGCCAATTTGCTGAGAAGGGGAGTGTGGGAGGGATGCTTCGGTGTAACATTTTCTCCAAATGACATACGGATCTTACAACTAACTCCAGTTACAACCATCTGTTTCACTCTTTTCTTAGTATGTCTAGAATCCTGGCGTGGTGCTGCAGGTTAACATGCTGGACTGCAATGGTTGGTTTGAACAGCAAGATTGGCGGTTCAAGCTCATCAGTGGCTCCTTAGAAACCTAATACAGGGGTGCTGAGTTGGAACTGACTTAACAGCACTTAATAGCAGTAACAATCATTATTAACATGTACGACATACAATACTGCTGTTAAAAGTGCCGACAAATTGGTGGTTCAAACGGACCTTGAGGTCGAGTGCTTATTCTATGGCGCCAGGTGTGGGAGTGTGTAAATTGCTGATGTCATCATTCTTAGATGATTCATTTTCAGGTGCTCAATGCTAAGATTGATAAAGATATGGATAATAAAAAGCCAGTAATAATGAAAACTAACAAAAGAGGAAGTATTTGCATGACATCAGAATGGACTTAATACCGCGTCATCGGAACAGAACCTGGTGAAAATCTGGGACTACCTGTGTGTTGGTGAAATAGAATATTTTAAATGATATTTTTGGCAGTCTGGATGAATCCCTAGATTTGTATAAGCCTAGAAGTCATTACTGTTGTTAAGTTCTATAGAGGTGGTTCCAACTCATAGTAACCCTGGATAGGTTTCTGAGTGGCTGGTGGGTTTGAACTGCTGATCTTGTGGTTATCAGTCCAATGCTTATCCTTCAGTGTCACACCAGGACTTGGAACTTTAACCCAATGATATCTGCCATACGGTTTCTCTTTAGCTTCTTGGGTTAAAACAATTCTAGAAAGTGATTTTACTCCTCTCTCTGAATGAGGGCCACATAAATGGGAGATTTAGGTTAGATCTGTGATAAATCTCCTTTATAACAGTTTACGTTAAAGCCCAGCAGACCCAGACCTGTTCAGATTTCTAATCTGATTCAACACAGAAAACTATGAACAAGTCAACGTATCAGTTAGCCGGTGTTTTCTCTGTGGAATTTCCAAAGGCTTGTGGAGGGAGTAAGGGGAACTTTTCCTCTGGTTTCATAAGATAAAGGTCCCAGAAAATCCTATGGAAGGGCCTTGGAAATTTCTCTATGCAGTCATTGTTGTTGTTAGGCACCATCAAGATGGTATCGATTCATAGCGACCCTATGCACAACAGAACAAAGCACTGCCCAGTCCTGTGCCAAACCTCACAATCATTGCTACACTTGAGCCCATCGCTGCTGCCACTGTGCCAAGCCATCTCTTTGGGGAGCTTCCTTTTTGTCGCTGACGCTCCACTTTGCCAAACATGGTCCCTCCTCACAAAACGTCTGAAGTATGAGAGATGAAGTCTGGCCATCCTGGTATCCAAGGAGCATCCTGGCTGTACTTCTTTCAACCCAGATTGGTTTGTTCCTTTGGCAGCCCATGGTACTTTCAATATTCTCCTCTAACACTATAACTCAAATGTATCAATTCTTCTGTGGTATTCCTTATTCACTGTCCAACTTTTATATGCAAATGAGATTACTGAAAATACCATGGCTTGCTTCACTCACACCTTAGTCCTCAAACTGACATCTTAGCTCTTTAACACTTTAAAAAGGTCTTGTGCAGCAGATTTGCGTAATGCAATACGTCGTTTGAATTTTTGACTGCTGCTTGAGTGTTAATGGTTGATCCAAACAAAATGACGTTTTTGACAACTTCAATCTTCTCTCCATTTATACGGATGTTGTTTATTGGTCCAGTGGTGAGGATTTTTGTTTTCTTTACATTGAGATGCAATCCATACCGAAGGCTGTGGTCTTTGATCTTCATCAGTAAGTATTTTAAGTTCTCCTTGCTTTCAGCAAGCAAGATTGTATCATATGCATATCACAGTGGTTAATGAGTGTTCCTTCTATCCTGATACCACCTTCTTCTTCATGTAATGCAGCTTTTTGGATTATTTGCTCAGCATACAGATTGAATAAGTATGGTGAAAGAATATAACTCTGGCACTTTTCCTAATTATAAACCTTTCAGTTCTGTTGGAACAACTGCCCCTTGGTCTATGTACCGGTTCCTCATGAGCACAATTAAGTGACTGTAATACTCCTCTGCAAGGTTGTCCATAGCTTGTCATGATCCACACAAGTGAAAGCCTTTGCAGAGTCAATAAAGCAGAGACAAACATCTTTTGTTATTCTCTGCTTTCAGCAAAGATCCATCCGATGTCAGCAATGATATTCCTTGTTCCACATCCTCTTCTGAATCTGGCTTGAGCCTCTGGAAGTTCTCTGTCACTGTATGGTTATGGATATTTTTAAATTATCTTTAGCAGAATTTTGCTTGCACGTGGTATTCATGAAACTGTCCAATGATTTCTGCATTCTCTTGGGTCACCTCTGTTTGGAATGGGTACAAATATGAATCTCATTCTATCAGTTGGCCTGATAGCTGTCTTCTAAATTTCTTGTTAAAGTCACCCCACTGTTATATTTATATAGCAGCACTAGAGAACTAAGAGAGCAAAGAAATAGACTATAGCATTATTAACTAACAGTTTTCATTAGGGGAATAACCTAATCAGATACAGAAATCCTTCTGAGAAAGTGCTATCATGGGAAGTAACTCTACATGATAAGACTAAACAAAGAGCAAGACAACGATGGATGAAAACGAGGCAGGGGAAAACTCCAAACCACATGGATCAGAACAGGGTGCTCCAAACTATGGCCTACAGGCCAGACCCAGCAGCCACCTGCTCCCATGAGTCCATGTCTCACCGAACACAGACCTATTGAGTCATCCTCTGTGACAGTGAACGGCAGTCTCTGAGACTCAGAAACAGGAGATGGTCCACAAAGCCTAAGACATTTACTCTCCAGTCCTTTCCAGAAAAAGTTTCCCAACCCTTGCTCCATAAAAATGACCAGCGAAACATCATGCGATTATCTTTAGATGGTGGAATTATGAGCGATGATTTTCTTTTCTCTATGGTTTCTTAAACTACCCAGCATGTCACATTTTGGGATAATAAGCCAAAAAGGAAGAAGAAGAAACAGTGTGCCCCAGTTGTTGGTGCAAAGAAATGGGGCGCCTGGCTCCATTCTGTGTACGGTACCTTGTTTCCAATGGCCTTTTTGGGTGGGAAGTTGTAGGCCCTCACTTGAGGGTATTTGTTCTGTAGCTTGTGGTGCAAACTTCTGAACTCCGTATAGCGCCGATACACATTCCATTCATCATCCTTTATCCGGACGTAGACCTGCCAAGAAAGCCGAGAGAGAACATGAAATTCTCTTACAACACTCATTATACACCAAAACCCACTACTGTGGAGTTGATTCTGACGCATTTGGTACCCGAAGCTGTAAATCTTTACGGAAGCAGACTGTCTCTCCTTCTCCTGCAGATTGGCTGGTGGATTTGAACCGCCTACCTTTTGGTTAGCAGCCCAACAGTTAATCCATGACACCACCACGGCTCCTCATAAAGCACTCAATACATACCTGTGAGTCCTGTGCGCCTTCAAAAAATCACTGACATCAGATCAAATGATCAATAACTTTGTTAGGTGTAAGGGGCAGGGAAACTAGATGACAGGAAATGGAACAACCAGACCAGAAAGGAGAATATCATGCATTGTGACGTATGTAACCAATGTTACTGACTTGTGTAGAAATTGTTGAATGGGGACCCTAAGCTGTTGTATAAGCCTTCACTGAAAACGCAATAAAATATTGTTCCAAAATAGTTAATGGAAACAACAAAACACAACCACACTCATTATAAAGGAACAGGTTGGCAGTAATGCCTCACCCATGAAAACATGGAGTCAGCTCCTTGAGAGCAGGCAGCTTGGTGCCCGCGGATGCCCAGTGTCTGGTCTGGAAAAAGGGTGGAGACTGCTGATTGGACAAGTGGACAAACGGACGAATAAGCCCAGCAGTGAAGTTACAGGAGCCATGTGCTGTCTCGTTCCCTATTATCAGCAGGGCTCCAAGGCCAACCAACCTCACAGAAGCAGTCTTCTATTTCTGTCACATACATACTGAACCAGTAACAGCTTGCTGATGAAACAGGTTCACCTCAAAAACCACCCAGCATCCCAAATACAGACGTTATATGTTTGAAGGCCAGGGTCTCTCTTAACATCCTTGTGAATAAGATGAGGAAAAGGAAGACTTTTACCAAGGAATTCTGGTTAATAGAAGTTTCCAGTGGAATTAGATAGAGAAACAGAAGATCTGTTAAGTTTATAAAAGCTTCCCTGATAAGAGGGACAGAAAATATACTGGCCAAAAGATATCACAAGAACTCCACTGGGTGAGGGATGGGTCCAACCCAGCATGATGGAATTCAAAATGATCCATGTCAGGGTCCAGAGTCTATAAAATGGGGGCATTTACAGCAAACTGCAGCCCGAGCCATGCAGACTTAATGGATTTTAGTAAATTCAAGCTAAGTGAAAAAGCTCATGTAATCTTAAACCTAGAAGACCTATGTATGGTATGTTCTAGAGCAAAGGCATTTAGATGCTCAAAGGCATCCAGAACAAAGAAAGGCATCTGGTTAGTTATGGAGAACCAGGACTTGGAGTTTTCCTGGTCTCACCAGTCTGAGCGGGAAAGGACAAACCTGCAGCAATTTAACCCAGCTGAGCCCAGGGGCCTTGCCTTCACTTAGGGAATTCTCTGAGTCCTCCCCGGTGATAGCAAATGCTACTTGTCACCCAGGATCCGTTTTCCCCCAATATGGCTACTGGGTAATGTAATGCTGCCAGCCACAAGCTACGGCAATGAGACACAAGCAAAAATCACTGTTTGGTTCTCCAGAGAGACCTTACACAGCCAGCTATCTTTTTGTCCTTCTCCTTTCCTTTTTCTCTATTTCTCAAATGCAGATGTGATGACCGCAACTCCAGCAGCCATTGTGTGATCATGAGGTGACCATGCAAGCGGAAACAGAAGGACTGAGTCTCCAGTGACATTTTAGATTGCATTTACCAGTGGAGGGACTATTTGCTCCAGATGGTTTGTTTTGCTTTTAACAAAAGAGAAAAATTCACCTCTAAGTTGCACATGCTAATGTTTCGGGGGTTGGGTACCAGCAGCTGAATGCCATTCTTAGCCAATACATCTTAAATGGAATGTGTCTGCTTGCGGTATATGCTGACGTAAATTCAAACGTCCTCTGGAGAGCGGCAAGAGCAGGCGCTTGGCTGATCATCATGCACACCACGAATCATCTACATCAGAAGGTGAGGTAGGCACCTACGAAACCTGGCCACGCCGCTCTGGTTACCTGTAGCCTGCTCTGACACTTCCCTGCTTCTAGCCTGCAGCAGCACTTCCATTGAGTTGTTGCTACAGTGGTCATATGGACTGCAAGGCCTTAACTATATACTGTCTGGTCCTCTAAGATATAAGTTGGCTGACCTGTGCTCTAGATCATGAGGGGGTCCCTTTCACTTATTTTTCATCAACACATCTGAGAACCAGTGTGGAGAGCGTGGTACTTTCCAAATATCACCAGCCCCTGGGTGGGCCACACACTGACCATCTGGGGTCCAGGGATTCCTATTGTTCCTGGTGATTCTGAAGAGCAGAAACCACACACAGAGCACACATTCAGGGGTCAAACAGAACCACTATTTCCCCTCAATGGCCATTTACTTGCTCATCTGTTAAACAGAGATGATAATGAACAGCAACCCACGGTGGTGTGGAGCGCCTTCACCCATATGACAATGCAGTTATGCCTGGGATCATGTGAGGAAATGGGATTCCATTAGGGGGAGAAGTTGTTGTTAAATACCATCGAGTCAGTCTGCCTCATAGTGAACTTGTATAGGGCTTCTGAGGCCTTTTAAATCTTTGCAGGAGCAGAAAATCTCATCTTTCTCCCATGGAGTGGCTGGCGAACTATAACCACCAACTTCGTGGTTCACAATCCAGTGCTTATCCTACAGAGCCACCGTGTTCCACATGGGCAGAAGGGAGGGGGCCTAAGGTGAGACTTTGGCCTCTACACTTTCAGAGCCATTGAATAGTTGGTTATATCCAGATGGGACAAGCGCACATGGGACACAAAACGACTTTGTTTTAATCAAGTTGTGACTCTCAAGAGAACATGCCAGGTGATGAAGGTACCCTGCACTTCCCAGGGACACACAACAATGACATCACAAGGGAAAACAAAGATACAGGCAAGAGAGCCATACGTTTCCCAGCAGAGTTATGAATGGCTGCAAGAATAAAGCCTCCAATGACACACGGGTACTGCAATTTGCAAGCAGTGAATGTCAACATGTCTTAAAAATGACCCTAATGGAAGTGTTCAATTCTGACTCTACATTTTCCCATAAAACACTTTTGCTGTTGTTAAGTGTGCTGTTCAGTTGGTTTCAACTCACAGAGACCCTGTATAGGGTTTCTGAGGAGCAGCTGGTGGCTTTGAACCATTGACCTTGAGGTTAGCAGTCAAGTGCTGACCCTACAGTGAAATAAATGCATGAGTCCTTCCCTCAATAGAAGGCTTTATTTTTCTACGTTGTTGTTTTTTCATTGAGTTGGTTCCGACTCATAGTGACCCTATATAGGGTTTCCGAGGAGCAGCTGGTAAGTTTGAATCGCCATACCAAAGAACAAATAATGCAATTTATTAGTCCCGACAGTAGTCATTTTCAGACAGTAAAAGTGTAGATACATGTGTGAGCTAAGAAAGTTGCTGAATTTCACTTCTGTTGATGGAAGCTCCCAGAGCACAAAACAATCAGTGTCCATCCGAACAAGTGTAGGCATGAAAGCCTACAGCTTCCCTTTGACTTACCCATCTGCTCTACCTGGGTACTTCCGGGTCAGCCTGGGTAGTTCAGGGTCAGCCGACACCTGTGGAGGGGCTTCTCCCATGCTCCTCCTCTCCTGCACACACATATCCATCCCATTTCAATGTCAATGACTCAGCCTGGATGTCTGGTAGGAACTCCAGACTTTTTTACCCATAAAGCAAAAAGCCAAATCCCCTGGTGTCCATGGATTGTGACTCACAGTGACCCTATGGGACAGAATAGAAGGCTACAAACGTTACTGAAGCAGGCTGCCACATCTTTCTCCTGCGGGGCTACTGGTGGGTTTGAACCAATGACCTCCCAGTTAACAGCTGGGGACATAAGCACCAAGCCACCAGCAGAGCTCCTTTTTGGGAACCTAAGTCTGCCTGACTTCTAAGGCCGTTCTCTATCCCTGCAGGAACCGAGGGCCTCTGGTTCAAGTTCCTGAGGCCCAAGCATCCCTTCCTTGGGTAGATCACAGATCCTCAGAACCATCTCCATGGTACCAGAAGATCCAATCACATCTTCTCATTTACGCCTCTCCCTCTGCAAATCAAATGCCATGAACATCTTCCAGAATCATCTAGCAATCCACCTTCAAGTACTATGCTCTTTGCAGCACAGACATTTTTTAGCAAATTAAAGTTGTCCTTGAATTGTACTTAACCAAAAATCATCAACATATTTGACTAAAGAACTGAAAGGGCTTACGCCCCGAATTGTTATTTCCCCCCCTGGTTTATAAAACTAAGTTCCTTCGACCAGCACCATAAAGATAGTAATAATTCCTCCAAGGGATAAAATGGATTGGCTTCTTTGGGCAGAACCACGTTCCCTTTTAAAACGAGCAATAAAAAGCCACTTTAAGTTCAACCTCCTTGACTCAGCAAAAGAAAAAGAAAAAAAAGGATAAGATCTGTTTTCAGGAATCAAGATACAAACCAACCCTCTTCTCTGTTTAAGAGGAAGTTCCAATCTTGAGATTTCTTTTCACTGGGGAAATCACTCCAGTTATACCTTTAATGCACTTGGGAGAAAGGGGAGGTTAAGGGAAAAACAAGACATGAACTCAGTTCATTAATGAACGGAGTCCTGAATAAGCTCCTGTATCGAGCGGTCCGGAGAGCAAAACCTTCATTCTGAAGAGAAAGAACAGTTGTGGGTGGAGGCAGGAATTAAGCCTGCAGATTACCCTTAGACCTTAAATCAAAATACCCCTTGAAGTCTTCTTAAAACTCCACAACAACAACAGTGTAACTGTAACAGTCAAGAATGTCTACCTTGAGCATTATGATCTTTTAGGATCTAGCTGTTAGGAATCAAATTGACCACAGCAACTCGAAAGACAAGACAGGAACTTTAGGTGGAAATCGATGTACAATTCAAAGAACATCATCAGTGTTGCTGAACGGGAAACTTAGAAATGGTGTATG